GAGTGGCTAAGAAGGAGATCATATGGGAGAAAGTAAGCATAACATGAGAGAGAGAACGCGTATAAGGAGAATGAGAGATTAGGAAATATGATAAGCTTTAAGTTTTGATTTTTAATGTAATCAAAGCCACCCCTTTTTTATTTGGGCTGCTTGGGTTGGGTTTGTTGGGGTCGGCTGTGCTGCTGTCTTTGACTTGGCTGTTCAGTTCCTATTCGCCTAGCTTGGTTGTTGGGTTTCTATTGTTTGGCTTTTCCAGTTCCCTAGCCTGGGTTGTTCGGTTTCTGCTCCTGCTCATTGGCTTTCCTGGTTTCCCTTGCTGGTCTGTTCGGTTTCTGCTCCTGCTACCTGGCTTTCCTGGTTCCCTTTGCATTACATGTTCGGTTCCTACTGTTATCCCTTGGCTTTCCTGATTTGTCTAGCTTTAATACTGTCTTTTTCTTCTCCTTTTTGGTTGGATGTTGGCCTCCTTTTCCCCTATTTTGATTGGCTGATATGGGCGGCTATTTGGGTGTCTTTTGGGCTTCCTTTTCTTCTATTTATAGTGATGTTTGTGGCAGTTTTAGGAGGAGATATGTCATGATTTTTGGAGAAGAAACCAGAGGGTTTTCTCTAGCTTGTGAGCTAGCTTCTTTTCCCCTTCCCCTCTATGACTTCGTCTTGAACTTCTAATCTATTTCTTCTCTCCACAAGTTACCATTCCATTGTATCTTTCTTTTAAAAACTAAAAAAGGTTGTAATGTGTTGTGTCTTTTTATGTTAAAGTGTTGTTGTGTTTGTTTAAGTTCTAAAGAAAGGAAGTCTTGTGTCTTGGCAATCCTTTTTTTGTTGCATCAATTTTTTTATAAAAGGACAGCTCAAGAGGTTGCTCAAGACATTGCAGGGGATCAAAACATAGAAGAATGGATAGCATACGAGTGGCTTTGTCTTTAATTTCTTGTATGTTTGTAATAAACAAACAGCCAGACTTCCTTTGCATGCATGGCGCAGATACTATGAGAGGGAAAAGGAAAGTTTGACTTTCTATGACTCATAATAATCGTAATTGATCAAATCTTTCCATTATTTCATTATTCAAGTAAATATGCCCAAAAATTCATTTCATACCAAAATGCCCCTATTATATTAAAATGAGTCATAACTCTCGACCGAAAACTCACACAAGCTTTCTAACAAAGTAGTTGCTTAAATGCCCCTCTTCCAGAACCTTCTCTATCTCCATCAATCTTAGAGCCTGATGCAACCAAAAGTTCCCAAAATAAGTAGGAGGCCCTTGGAGACAAAAAAGAAACAAAAATGTTCCTTATAACTTGAAATAGAAGGACAAACAACACTTTAAAAACTTTTTAAACATAACAGGACATTACAAACTTATGACATAAATATATCTAAAGAAGCTTTTCCTGATCGAGAAGAAAGATACAAATGGGGTGGTCACTTGCGGAGAGAAGAAAGAGGTAAGAAGCCCGAGAAGAAGAGAAAAGTTATAGAACAAGCTCGCATGCTTTTCCAAAAAAACCCTCAGGTTTTGTTCCAAAAATTCTTCACATAACACTCTCTTTTATTCTTCAAAACATCAAATATATATAAGAAAAAAGGGGTAGCCAAATAGCCCAAATCCACCCCCAACTAAGCCATCAAAATAGGGGTAAACAGAAGGCCAACGGGCGGTCAAGAAGCAGCACCCGAAGAGCCACACAGGGAACCGGAAAGGCAGCCACGGGAGACAGGAAAGGCCACCACAGGGAACCGGAACAGGCAGCCAAGGGGGGAAGGAACCAGCCACGGGAAAAGGAGCCAAGTGGGGGAAACCGAAGGGCTAAGGGAAGGGGTAAAGAGGGGAATCAACCATAATTTGCTCATTAATCTCAGCATTAATGAGTTGGATCCTAGAAGCTCTCCAAAAACTGCAAAAAAACTGAGCAGCCAAGTCCAAACCGAGAGACCAACCTCAGCCAAAACTTTGGCACATGAGTTGCCCCCCCCCCCCCTTGCCTACATCAGATTCTTTCCCGGTTGAAAAAACTCATCTCCTGATGAGGTTGTTTTAGATTTTTCCCAACGAGACGAAGGAAGCGCATCAAATTCTTGAATCTTAACCGCATACTTCTTCAGGATCTCTTCTCGTTATTGCTTGAATTGGTTTTGCAAAAGTCTATTTTTCTTCATGTATTGTTCCGTACACACATGCATCTTCATCTGTAGTTTGTATAATTCATTTTGAATTGGATCGGTTGAACTTCCTTCCGACGGAATCCATCTGTCCATAGGGATATTTTCTTCAAGAACTTCTGGCTGATTTTCATTCACTACTGGCTTAAGGTCTTCATGTTTTTCCTTTTTTCCTTTTTTTTTTAACACTTAAAAAAACACAAAACAACCCAGGAAAATCCTAACCTAGGCTCTGATATCAATTTGATGCAACAAAAAGCTCCTAAAACAAGTAGGAGACCTTTGGTCACAAAAAAGAAACAAAAATGTTCCTTGTAATTTGAAATAAAAGGACAAACAACACTTCAAAAACTTTGGCACATGAGTCTCCCCCCCTCCTCTGCCTACATCAAAGCCCATGTGATTGGCATGCAGTGAAACTTCACAAGGATGATATTGACTTTCCAACCAACACTTTTTCAAGGTTAATGATATTATACATTTTATTATTTAAATTTGAATGTGTTCATTATTGCTAATTGTAGGTTATAACAGGAAGGAGCCTAAAGGTTGGTTCAGCAAGCAAACAAGTTACGAACTTATAATATGAATTTTGAACCTCGTACACTAAAAACAAATTATCCTAAACCTTAAAACCAACTAATTTATGCAATTATAAATCTACATAAAAATGAAATCATATTTGTGCTCGGTGAGGCAATTTTCCACTATGGTGCTTATATAGAAGTCCAGGAGATTCCAAGTAGCATCTGGAGAAGACATCATCAAATTAGCAAGACCAATTAATTCTAATTTTGAGGCTCTGTAGGCACAAACCACCAATTCTTGCGGTCGAGAATCAAAACTATCACCTAAAAATTGGATCTAAATAAATTCTTCTCTTTTTTATATGAAATTGTCTACTAAAAATGCCAATAATTTGTTTGAGAATGAAAATATTGCCATTTATTATTTTTCTACATGACAAGTAGACTCCTAAATAGCTTAATTTAAGAACTTCAAGATTTTGTAGTGAGTTGAAGACTAAAAGGCTATATTAAGCTTTTGCAGGCTGGTGAAAAATGAAAGTGTGACTATATTTCTCAAGTAGAGGGGCTCCTAAATGAATCACAATTTTTATCCATATACGGCATGAAAAAATAGGGACTATCACTATGACAAGGAAATGAAATCACTCTGAAGTTTTAAATTAGCCCTAACAAAAGTTGTGAAAACCGGATCAGATAACAAACTGAAGAAATGAGAGGTTCAAGGTTCGATAGTTCAACTGGGATCAAACCGAGGTTAAACTGGATGACATAATAAATATGAAAATTATTCAAATATAATATAATTTACATAATAATTAAAATTTTAACAAAGAATACACAACTATTTTGATTAAAGCTCATGAACAAGCTCGATTAAGGCTCAACATAAAGCTTATTAAGAAGCTTAATTGACCAATTATGTGAATATAAGTATATGTATATTACAAATATAATTATATGCATAATAAAAACATATTCTTTTAAATATATATTTAAAAATTTAAAAAATTAATTAAATATTAAAATTTTATTTAAATAAAAAATAACATTTATTGAACTGGGTTGTTCAATCAAACCGGAACCAACTTAACGGTTTACTACTTGAACCAGCGGTTAAAACCGGTTCACACCGATCCAATCCAGTTTTAAAAACATTATTCCTAACAAGTTTTGAGGACCTATATTTCCATACTTTATGTGTGAAAACAACACCAATAATTGAGATGTTGTTTAGTTGTTTACAACAGATTCAAAATAGTTGTACTTGAATCTTAATGCATTATTATGTTTTTAATGCATTACTAATTGGAAAAGTGCTTTGATGTCCTTACTATGGAGTGCCAGATTGTCATTCCCGGTTGTTACATTCAACCTTACTATGTGTGGTTCATAAGATCTACATTCCCAATTCTATTTATTATCCTTGAATTGATAAAACTTCATTTTGTTACAGCTGGTAATACTTTGTGACAGAAGGAAATCTTAAATAATTCTTATTATGCCATTTGTCATTTGACCTTATGAAAGAAGCACAGTTGGTCTCGCTACTATGATAAAATCTAAATTGCGGCATTTTTATAGGTTATCTGTTATCATATTACCACCACTATCAAGATGCAGCATCGCAATGATGAAATGTTTCACACAAATTTCTTCATCCAATTTATGTTAGGGATGGATGCTAATACCCCATAGATCGCACATTTAAAACATGCTAGAAGCTATCAGCAATCCATTTGGATACCCCTGTTTAGCATTCTCACCAAAATAACAGAAATAACTTGGTGGTAGAAGCTAATAGCAGTCCATTTGAATAAAAGAGCTATTTTCAAAAGTTGATTTATTAACAAGCCAAGATAATGGTAATTTTGTTACACAAGATAACCACAAACTTTTACACAAAGCAAGTTTGACAGGAGAGATGCTATTATATATATTTTCTTTCTTACCCATAAAGGAAGAGACTTTAAGTACATGATTAAACAATTTACATATCATTTCATAGTTTGAGAAAGAATGTCACCAAGAAAGCTAATCAGTATCTACAAACCCCTATCATGCAAAGCTCAAGTAAATTACCTAATAAATAAACACTAGCCATTCTTGATTTGAAATTTCATACACACAAAAAAAGAAAGAAACGATAAATAGGCGTACAAGGGACATAAATAAGGTCATTATGTATCATCATATAGAAGCCCAAGAACCATTACTGAGCATATATATGAGCAAACAATAGTTACCCAGAAGCCATAACTTGAAATAAAATTTACAGATCAAATTATTTGCATGAGCATCTACCTTCTCAGGGGGTATGGAAAATTGACCATTTGGTTTAGCCATTTTTGTAGCCAAACGGGCCATGAGCAAATTTCCAGCAATCCCAGCACTTGCTGTACATTGGGTGGTCTCGGCAATTTCTTTCCTTATCATTGATGCAAAGTTCTCAGGTTCAAGATCATCGCACTCTGTAATATCAAGAAAAGCTTCATCGCAGCTTACTGCCTGCATATCAAACAACTTATTACTTTTACTGACTGCAAGGAAATGAAAATTAAGTAAGAAATTACTTCCAAGCGCTACTTGCAACTCTCATATAAAGATTCTTGGATAGCTAAATTTGTCATTTGTGCATTTCAAAGTAGTGGCAATTCCATTGGACAGCATTTAAAATGGGGTTAGAGTTGAACCTGAACTTTGTTACAATGTTTGTGCAATATACAATAGAACTGGTCAGCAACCTGCAAACTCTCAGGACAATGATTTTAGGAAAAATTGCAAAAAAATGAGATTCAATCACTGTGAACCTAGTGCTGCAAAATGGATGGAAAAAAGCCATATTAAAAAATTACAAAATGTAAAATTACCTCTTCATATGCAACAAAATCATAAGGAAAGACAACAAGGTTTGGACAGCTACTCTTGGCATCTCGCACAAACATCCCAGCACTTATGCCTAAACAAGGATAATATATTAAGCAAACATATGTCAATAGTATTCAACAGATTAGTTATTAGTGGTTCGACTATAGAAAATAACTTGGGAGCAGAAAAGCACCATAGCCTCGAGCAGGATAGTTAGCAGAAGATATTTCAGCTGTTCCTTGGGAATTGTTTGAATGGCAAACGGCTACTGGCTTATCAAGCAACTCAGGATACTTTCTTAAAATAACTGAAACAAAAAAACAGTCCTGGAAAGGCAAAAGAATTATTACTATTGAATTCCATGAAATCAGTGTCACAGCAAGTAAAACCATTCTGAACAATTCTTTCAAATACCAATTTTGAGGAAAAAATTGGTGATTGAAGCACTGTAGAATGTCGCAACATATGAAGAATGATTACCATATCAATGTGGATAACGGAAACTTTATTTGTGGAGGAACAGAAACCAACATTACCCTTGCTACAATTTCCCTTGAGCATATTACAAAATCGTCTCCGGTATCTATTTCTCCAGGTCCCAATAAAATGCAGCCTTGAATGCTGCATCCAAGGAAAAGATAAAAGCTTAGAATTTCAGTAAAACAAAAAGATGAGGCAAACTATGCGAACACAATTACATCATTACTAGCATTATCTAAACAATGTGAAAAATTATGTAGAAGAGAAAGAACAAAAAAACTAGTTTAGCAAATAAATAAAATAATCATTACTAGCCTCATCTAAACAATGTGAAAAATTATGTAGAAGAGAAAAAAAAAACTAGTTTAGCAAATAAATAAAATAATCATGAAGTAGCACCCATAATAAACATCTAAATTCACTCTTATCTTCTTAAGAAATTGAAAGATATAAAAAAATAAGAAATTAAGGAAATCAAAACGTAAGAATGAATTGCTTCATTTAATCTCAATGTCTTTTACAAATTAACGTTTCTTCATATAGCAGAAGGTAAATCCTTAGTAATAAATAATATATGAAGTACTGGACTGGAATATTTCCACCCTCATCTTCAATCGAGCACATAACTTCAAAATACTTTCTCACAATATTCATAACATGATTATAGCTCATTGCATATAAAGTGCTAATATATCCTTCCCAAAAGTCACATGTCCTTCATATAAAATCATGATTGTTGTAGAAGTCAAATTAAAAACAATAATAATAATAATATGAATTGGCAATAGTCAGTTCAGTGAAACCTACTATTAGCCAGTTCATTAAAAACAATAGAGGAAAATAGAGATGCTTAGCGAAAAATGAAGGGTGAGATATAGAGTGTGTGATCGGTCTAGAGGGAAAGAGAGAGAAAGGAAGGGAAAGAGGACAAGAGAAAGAAAGAAAAAGGCAGCGAGAGAAAGATAGGGAGACCAAGATCGAGGGACTGAGAATAGATAGTTAGAGATTGAGCAAACAAGCGATATAGTCCCACACTGGGTTTTGCATCTTCCCAAGAAAACTCGGGTGTAAATGATGACAACAAATGCAACATTAATTCGATAATTTTGAAGAGGAATTTTCATTTTCCCTCTCAACTTGATATAAGGTAAAGTTAATCTAAAACTCTCTCATCAAATCAACAAATTTTAAAATTAGCATCCCCCATCCTACACAAAAAACTCTCAACAACATTAATAAACTTAATTCACATAAAAAATTATGTGTGCACATTTAGTTTCAAAAAGAGTAAAGGATAAAATAATACATAGCCATTATTGTTATTTCATGTAATATAGTAGTGTCTGACAAGAAAACTTTAGAAAATGAAAGAACAAAACTTCCGAATTTAAACAATTATATTGGGGCAAAATACAACTTGAGAGATGGCAATGTTAAAACAAGAAAAGATTTCATCACCACCCTCACTGGTTTATCCCACCTATTTTTGGGTTGTCAATATGAATCCAATCTTCATTCATATATGTTTAATGCAACATGAGATGTTAATTTAAGTATTCATTCATAACATCTAGTTATCCTTGGTCTTTCACCCCACGCCTTTCAATCTAATTAGTGCATCTTCTCCTCTTGATTGTATGGGCTCAAGCAACACTAGTCATGTTCTACAATCATGTCCTCCCAAGCCTCTCCCACATAACCATATTGTATTTAATCTGTTAAAATTTCACCACATGTCCTTCTTACCATTACTTCTTTTCCAACAATTTAACCTAGCTTTTAATGATAATGATTTCTTTCTATCCCAACGCTCAAATGCTTTTGCAAGGAAGTCTTTTTGTCCTTTCAGAAAAGTCATTATTAAGATTCCATGAAATTCTTTAATAAATATATATAAAATGAACTTATCTATTTAAACCACTTCACTTAAATAATACAATTAATATCCATTACATATCCTCATTCAAGTGCATGATAAAATCAAGAAACCTAAATTTACCACATATAGGCATCACTTCATCCTCCAACCTTGTAAATTGTTCATTATTAAACATCCACCGAAATTACGCGCCACACACTAAATTTTTACTCAACAAATGATAAAAAACTTCATTCTTCTTTTTTTTTTCATTGTCCCAACCTTTCAGTTATATCCAGACAATTTCACAAATCAACAAGCCCCAAAAAATCTCATTTTGAGTACTGAACACAATAGCCATAATGACTCACTTAAAAAAAATTTGAATTCAACTATAAACCTGAACTAAACAATGTATGATGAGGCACCGTTTGTTTAGTCCACTACTTCAAAGTTCTAGCTAAGTCATGCTTACTTTTAATAACTCCAATGCACCTGTTATAAATACCTGTTCCCCTTAAACCCACCAAAAAATTTCTTGTGGTGTCTATTAAATCAAGGCTTGAAGGAAGAGTATTATGGTTAATAAATCTTTTTTATTAAGTCATTAATACAAAAAGGATGCTAAAGGACTGCAGAAGAAATTTTCTTAAATCAATTTAAAAGAATAAAATAGGAATCATGAATTAGGGTAACTATAAGTTCCGTTTATGGATGCATTGAAGTTAGGGAAGAGAGTAATGGAACATAAAAGAAGAAAATTTTACCAATATCATAAAATGAGTTTTGTTTTATCCCAAGATGACTAAGGCCTCGTTTGATTAGGCTTATTTTTTCAGTTTCCATTTGAATAAGTTATAATCAGTTCCAATATCATAAAATGAGTTTTGTTTTATCCCAAGATGACTAATTATGAAGGAGATTTTTATGCTATAGTGAAAATTGGGAAAGTAGAGGCCTCGGGAGATGTCTTCAAAAGATTTCTATTGATTTTAAAATGATTATCTGATATTAAACTGTTTGGATATATTAATAATATAGTTGAATATTACCTTCATTTCCCTCTTCCACACAAAAGAAGAAGAAAACTCAAGAAGCTTTCATTAGTAATTTCTCATAACAATATTTTTAATCTTTCTTTGATGTCTTCATAACAAAAGAAAAATGCATTATCTTTCATTATAAAACAACTACTACAACAATAACAACATTAAGCCTTTATCCAACTATATGGGGTCGGCTACATAAATCTTTTTTCTACATTGTGTTATGTTAAGAGTCAAACTTTCATTTAAATCTAATAAAAATAGTCATTTCTAACATTTTCTAGCTTTTTTTTTTTAGGTTTACCACTACTTTTTTAACATAGGTCAAATCTAATGCATCCACTCTCCTAATCAGGTCATTGGAAGCCCAATGTGTTATGTGACCAAACCATCTAAAACGACTCTCCCTAATCTTATCTTCCACTGGAGCTACTCCAACCTTTTCACGTCTATACTCGTTTCACATTTTGTCTCTCTAAGAGAGAAGCCACTCATCCACCTAAGCATCCACGTCCATGCAACACTTAACTTAATTTCATGCTTATCTCACCACCATTCTACACCATAAAGCATTGTAGGTCTCACCACCATCTTATAGAATTTTCCCTTAAGTTTAAGGGATACTTTTCTATCACACAATAGGCCCAATGTATTCCTCCACTTCAACCATCCAACTTGAATTATACTAATAATATCACCATCACTTTGAACAACAGACCCAAGATATCTAAAACGTGTACTCTTATCAATGACTTGATCGCCCAAAGTCACAGTCCCCCCACTATATCTACTACTAAAATTACACACCATGTATTCACTTTCAGATCTACTAAAACGAACACCGACCTCCATAGTTAAAGTTTATCTTCAATTCCCTCTCTAGTCTTATCAACAAGGAGGATATCATGAGCAAGCACACACCATGGTACATCCTGTTGCAAATGACTAATAAGAAATATACATGACTAGAGCAAAAAGATATGAGCTTAAAGCTGATCCTTGATATAATCCAACTGAAATAGGAAAATACTTGGTAAAACAACCTTGTTTTTGAACAAAAGTAACAGATCCTGTATACATTTCCTTAATGACTTAAATATAAGCATTATTAACCCCTTTCTTTTCTAAAACTCTAAAGAGCACTTCTCTTGGAGCTTTATCATATGCTTTCTCAAAATCAATAAATATCATATGTAGATCCTCCTTATTCTCTATATACTTCTCCAAAGTATGGCACATTAACTTAATTCCTCTATAATTCATGCAGCCTTGTGCATTACCTTTATTCTTAAAAATAAACATCAACACAATCCTTCTCCACTCATCTAACATATTTTTAGTCCTCAAAATAATATTGAAAAGTTTCATAAGCCAATAAATTCCTTCATCACCTAAGCATTTTCACACCTCTATGCGAATATCATCAAGTCCAACAGCTTTTCCACACTTCATTTTCTTTAAAGTCTCTCTATCTTCGATTTTACTAATGCGTCGATAAAAATAAAAATTTATACTTTCAATCGAATTCTCACAATCTTCACAATACACCTAATTTGACCAAATCTCTATACCTTCTTTCTCCTGCACTCAATCATCTATATATATCTAACTTCTTTTAAGTATCCAAAAAATCATCAATAATTGTAGCATTGGTTTTAATATATTAACAACTATAAATCTTCTAACATCCTTCAACAAGTATTTAACACCTTTTTTCATTCTATAAAAGCACATTTTTATTCAATTAGTTGTTATAACTCCTCACTTGATCACAAAATCTCATTATTGATTAATATAAATAAAATATATATTTCTAAACTCTCATAAATCTTTTTGCAAACTTTTGATAGTGCAATTATCTATTTTTTAACATTATGTTAGCTTCAAGTTTTTAATGCCAATAAGATCCAATTAAAAACCACTCTTTATTTTATGGTTAAGCATGAAGAAAAATTAAGAATAACACAAAATTATTGACTAGATGCAGATTATGTTCATATGCATTTCCTTTAAATTTACCCATTCCATTGTTTAGAATTGCCAAAATGTGGCGCGCCTCAACTCAAGGAGCTCAAAAAAAAAAACATTGAGGCATAAGCCTCAAGTGGAACAATTGAGGTGTACATTTTACTTATGTGAAGCATTAATAAAGGCATTTATGATGAGGCATAATTTAAAGTCAAGAAATTTTTTTGGGGGATTCAAAAAAATGACAAATTTGTCTATGACGAAGTGAAAGGCGTAAGTACAATAGGGAGTTCGTTGTGATATGGGATCAGAAGAAAAAAAATGTGGCAATAGTTATGCTTGATATCAAGTGAATCATTGCCTGCGATGGTGACAAAGGAAGAGGATGGGCAAGGGAGATAAAAAATTGCATACAAGCCAACTTACTTCGAGATGTGGTATTGTGAGGCAAAAAAGACATCAATTGTTGACATCAACGAGAAGTGAGTCTAATTCGAGGGAGCAGTTAACAAATGACTTCATACTTAAAAGGCCTTAGGCATCAAGGAACTTCTTTGCAATTTCAAGCAACTACTTCGCTTCCACTCGATCACCATAGCCGGCTTCCATGCTAGGAAGAGGGAGAGTGAAGAAGAAATGTGATTAGTTGGACTCTTATCATGGGAATGAAATAATAAATGGACCAAGATAATAGCCAAGTCCAAAATCTTAAGATTTTGATATCTATTTTAAGACTCGTGTGTTTCTTCTTTTCATGAATTTACTTTGACGTTGCTATGTTATTATTTCATATTTTTCATTACTTAATTATTTAATTTTTAGGCTTATATGTCAAAATTTATTGAGACTTACCTCTCACTTCACAGAAAGAAAATACCTCAATGTCTGATTGTGTAATTTCATACCATAGTCACACCTAGTAAGTCTAAATTTTGAATAATAAACTTAAAAAAAAATTCATGCTAATTGGTTGCAATCAAGAAAAAGTAGAATAGTAGATCTTTCTTTTTTTTCTTTTTTTTTTGAACTTGAGGGACTATATATTGACTTAACAAATTTTCAATAATCAAAATATTACATTCAAATAAGCTATGTTGTGAATTACAAATCGTTACCAACTGCCTAGACGTTAAGTTGATCAATCATGCCTTCTTCCTCTTACAAAACATGGCAGACACTCCTAAACAAAATTCAATTCATTTAAGGTGGAGCTTTATGGGTATCCTAATTCTAGTATACAGTTTATATTTAAAATAATTGATATAAGTGAATAGATCATAAGTTGAAATTTAAGATGGTAAAAAATGTCAAAGAAAAAGTACATTGCATTTCAAAGTAATAGCAATAAAAATACCGTTTGAATCATACCACCTAGCAGATAAGAAAAATAAGAAACATTTCATCATGATCAACAACATTAGCATTATACGAACTATTTGGGATTAGTTACAACAAGAATATTTAGACATTAGAAAAATAAAGAAGTCTCGACACTTTACCTTGAAGTAGTTTTCCACAAAATTGGCATCCGTAAGGGTTGAATGATGCATATCAGAAGCTTGTAGGCATTCTGCATTAGTAGGTTCTCCAGAACTTACATCATCAACACTTAAATCATCAATACGACTGCAATTCTGAATGGAAAGCTGTGCTGAACTGGAAGTAGATGCCTCTACTTTGGTTCTCTCATCCAACAAAGTAGTGAATTTTGCTTCTTTATCAAGCCCAGGTTCAAGGCTATCACTTCCTTGGATTGTTCTGTCAAAAACCTTGCTTTTCAGTGGTAAAGGTGAGACCTTAGATTTCTCCAAGCCTTCAGGATCCATTCCATTGTTGGATTCAGAAGCAAGTTCAGCATCTTTAAGACTTGAGATAGTTTTGCATCCAAAAAAAGCAGACAACTTCTGCTGCTTATACATTTCACTTGAATACTCAACAAGTTGGTAGGATTGCCCTTCAAGAGTAAATGAACACAAGACATTCGATATTAACAACCAAAGTCAATAGAATATGCAAACTTTTAATGGAAGACACATGTTCTTATAATCGCAAAGAACAAATTTTAGTAAGATCTTTGCACGAAATTTTCAGTAGTTTATTGAACCAAGATAAAAAAAGATAAGCACTCCGGAAATCTATTGTGGATATCCGGATGCCAAATTAAAGCAGTTCACAGTTTCACAATTAAAATCATGAATACATTTGAAACATGGCATGCCAGGTCCAGCGGACAATAACATAGGCATAACCAAATTGCAAAACTCTGATTGACTCCGCTCTTATTTTGGTTAAAACAACATGGGAAATTAAAATATCATTTTACTTTTAGATGGATGTATGCATCATGCAGTAAAACTTGGCTGGCTAAAAGGAATATAAATACATCAGATATATAATAAGAAAATCTACTGTGGGTGACATAACAAAATTTGATTTCCAAAAATTCTAGACAAGTGCAAGATAAACTAAAACAAACAAACTGCAGATAACTAATCAATGTCCAAGATCTATGAACAACAACAACAACAACATCAAGCCTTTATCCCACTACGTGGGGTCGGCTACATGAATCCTTTTTCTCCATTGTGTCCTATTAAAAGTCAAATTCTCGTTTAAATCTAAAAAAGAAAGGTCATTCCTAATATTTTCTAACCAAGTCTTTTTAGGTCTACCCCTACCTTTCTTAACATAAGTCAAATCTAATACCTCTACTCTCCTAACCGGGTCATCGCAAGGCCTCCGTTTTATGTGACCAAACCATCTAAGGCGACTTTCTCTAATCTTATCTTCTACTGGAGCTACTCCAACCTTTTCACGTATATGCTCATTTCGTATCCTATCTCTAAGGGTAAAGCCACTCATCCACCTAAGCATCCTCATCTCTGCCACACTTAACTTAGTATTATGCTTCTCTTTTAAAGGCCAACATTCGGCACCATAAAGCATTGCAGGCCTCACTACCATCTTATAGAATTTTTCCTTAAGTTTGAGGGAAAGGAAAAAAAAAACTAAGATCTTAGAGTTGTCAAAAGAATACTTAGCTAAGCAAAACTATCAATAAAACAGCACTTAAAGGGTACGCATGCTGAAGATGCATCCTAAGCTGACCCAAATAATTGAGATCAGTATCATCGTGAATATAATAACTTATTAATTGACTTGCGATCCAAAGAGTGTCAATTGAACTTACCCATCCTAGAATTCACACAACCATCAGTAAAATCCATCCTTGTCATTTAGTATATGGAAAGTTCAGAAGTTTTGACATTCAAAAACACATCTAAAATTAATAAGTAAACCAGTTTTGCAGCATGTTGCTTCTGAAATAAATGCCTGTCTCCATACTTTATAAAAGGAGAACACATGACTCCACATAAGAAAAATGCATTTTAGGAAGACACGAATAGCTTGGTGCAAGAAAACACATACAACTCAAAAGTTTGTTTGCAGCCACAGAGTCCACAACCCATGCTGGCTTCAAGACTGGCAGACCTCGGCTGAACGCCCTAACAAATAAAATAAGATAATTAAAACTAGACCAACCAATTCACACCTAATTGTCCACAACCCATTAATCAACTAACCTGATATTCCTCATTTTGCTATCAGGAAGATTGCTACAGATGATATGGCTCACGCGTGACCTTGAGAAGTAGTTCTCGAATCGCCCCCCATGCTTCAGCATATACCCCCTAAGTTCCTATGGAAGCAAACGTCCAAGAATTCAAAATCATAAATTAAATGGGGGAGGTTTTCCGAATAAAAGTGAAGAATGGGGAAAAAGGAGGCAAAAATAACCTGACTTGATGGAACTGTATGCCCGTCGACATAGATGGAGACACCTTGAAAGATGCCCTTGCCGTCCCCAGAAGACGAGGGCTCGCTGTTCAAGTGTGAAGAACTCGATGCTTCCGCTTCAAATTGAGACCTAAGCTTGCGATTCTTCTCCGCCATGTAGCTACCGAAATCGGTGAAGGGAGATCTTTGGACGGGGGTTTTAGGGTTGGGTTTGCTCCTCTTCGCTGGGAGCCCAGAAGCTGAGGATGAAGAAGAGGATCTCATGGCGGATTATGAACAGGAGATAGGGTTTGGTACGTTCAGAAGAGGAAGGCCTGTTTAGATGCAGGATTTAGGCCTGATTTAGACAAGATTTGAGCTAAATCCTGCCAAACGCCAAAAAACGCAAAGTTAAAATCTCACGGTAAGCTCGACTTCACGGCATTTTCGGCATTTTTGCCCTAAATCCTAGATTTCGTAAATCCAAAATTTTGGCGGATTTAGCCGAATAAGCGCGCGAAAACGCGCAAAAGGGAGAAATATCGTTACCTTCGTGACAAGCTCCCGTCGCGACTTCCGATATGAACGTCATCGTCGGAGGTGGAGAAGCTTCACGCAAAGCAGGACAACAACGTCGTCGGAGGCGGAGAAGCTCAAAGCGACCCTTCACACGACCATAGTGAAGAAATGGAGAAAGGAAAAGCGGCAAAGAGAAAAATTAAAAAAATTAATTAGATAATTTGAAATATATATAATTAATTAGACATTTAGGATGTAAATATTATTAGATTAAAGTTAGTTTTTTTTCTTTTGAACGGGGAATTCACCCGTTTCCACCTCCCAAAATGGCGTTTGGCGGCGTGACTAATTCTCAGCTGATCTAAAAGGGCACCCACCCCGCCTCCGACAATCATCATTCACATGTGATCAAGCTGAAGTAAAGTTCTAAGCTAAAATTTTTTCAATGTTTCTAACCACCTATTCAAGATTTTAATATTATGTGTTTAGTATTTAAATATGAAAGCGTTGTTCGCACCGTATACCTTCAACCCAAAATGACACTAGATATCACATTACATACTTCAAAAATTATGGGTACTTTGATCGAATATCATTCAAACATTATTAAGATCTTGTTTAATCCTTGTTCATATTTTTGAAGCAAGATGGAATAATTTTTAAAGAAGATTCAAATAAAATTCAATTAAGTTTCAAACCAAGTTCAAAACAATTTCAACAAGATTTAATTAATATTCAAACCTTGTATGAATAAGGTTCAAGTAACATTCGACCATGATTCCTTATAGATTTATAGGGGATTTTTTCTCAACTTTTCATTTTACATATGTTGTATTGTGGATATTGTGCCTTATCTCTTGAATGACACTTATGTTATCGATGATGTGTTTTTACTTAAATACGTTTGATTGTATTATTATTATTTGTTAAACATCTTGAGTGAATGTTTTTATATATCTTGAATTATGCTATATTATGCCAATTCACCATGTCACCATGTTTAAACATCTTGATGCCAATTTACCATGTTATATATCTTGAATTATGCTATATTATGCTATATTATGCCAAGAGTATTTTGGATTGAAATAAAGTCTTAGACATATTCCTCTAAGAAAACAAACAGTGAGCATATTTCTCTTGTTTTGCTATTGTGAGATATATAAAGTCAAATTTCCTATGACATCCAAACTTTTAAATCTTATCAAAAATATTATTAGTATTTAATTTTATTTTAACGGCATGTATATGTTTTGATGTGATTAAGACACAAAATTTTATGTAAATAAACATTAAAGCAACTTTGATGTTGGATACGTAAATACATAAGAATTTTATGATATGTATGTAAATTCATAAAAAAATGTAAAACAAACACTTTGATCAAAAGCTAAATTTATAAATATCCCCAGTGAGGAAATTGTACTCTTGATCCTTTGTGTCATCCAAAAAAGACACTATAATTGTTGTCACATTGGCAAGGCCAGGAGCAACGTTACATGAATTTGAGCCAATATAAACTCCAATGGTTAAATAGGGAGAGGATGCTTGCATTTTTTATTGAATCGAGTAAGAAGACTATATAGTTGCTTAGATTATTTGTTGGACTGCTAGAGTGGAGAAATTATTCTGTACTGACACCTGACGGAGAGAACCGTCCGAATTTACTGCCCTTTTGCTACGCTTTTTGCCAAAAGGTAGTAAAAAGACATCAAATATTCAATTAAGAATGCATTTTTATTGCACTTGTGCTGCCCTTTTGCAAAAGCACAACAGATATTCAATTATTTAGTAAATATTAAATATTTGCTGCCAGCCCTTTTACTGCCCTATTGCAAAAGCATAGCAAAACGGCAGCAAAAGCATCGATGTCCATTTGAATCACACAAGGAGTTTGAGAAGTTGATCTCCATTTGCTAAGAGTTCAAATACATCTTAAAATGCAAATCATTCATTATTGAATTAAAAATCCTATGAGCCAACAATTTTGGACCCCGATGACTAGCAGAAATTAAGGCTATAGGTGTACTCTTGGTTAGAACCTTAATACTGATTGATGTAGAACTCATTAGATTATTAATAGGCTTGAGAGGAAATTTTAACATTAGACATGAATAAACAAACTTGACATTAACACACTCATTCAAAAAAACTGTGCATTTGTTGTTTACAATTATAATTAGATTATAATTTGATAAAATAAATATTTAATAATACTTAGTTGCATTTTTATTTATTTATTATATATTATATCACCATTTTCTAACATGGCATGTACTTTTGAGATATGCAAGGTCAATGAAATTGCTTAAAAACTAATTCTATGGATAAGCTAAAATAACACAAATAATACACAACAAATTTTCTTAATTTTGATGAAAGAATAATAAATATAAATTTTCTAAATATATTTAAAACATTAACATCTAACAAATAATTAATCAAACTAAATTGAAGCTCAATCACGGATTTGAACTTCACAAATATTATATTCAAGCTTAATAAAACTCGTAAAATTTAAGTCAAGATCAAGCTCTGCCGGCACTGTGCTCCGACAGTCTCTGATCTGAAACTCAGATATTGATCATATACCTAAATTTTGAAGTTAAAATCTCTTAATTATTAGTCAAAACTTTCAACTAACAGATCAAGATGAATTATATTTTAATCACAATGTGAAAACAAAAACTATTGTGCATAACCTGGTGTTGACATATCAAAATTTCGACAGAAGAAAAAAATAGAAAATATGCATCAATATCTACGATGAATTTTTAAAAAAAATTATTTCTACCTAGGGAAAGTCTAGAAATTCTTCTTGCAAGCTAATCGAATCAATCTAGAGTAATCCAAACACCAATTCAATCAAATTATTTTGAACCCAACTCTAATCCAGCCATTTTTAGCAGCTTCATTCGTTGGTCTTCACACCAAATTTGTACTTCATCAAATAGAAACTTAAAGATCCCAACAGAAATCAAATCAAACTTTCTGTGCATAATGTTGGAGTGACAGAGACATTTAGGTTTCGTTTGGAACGGTTTTTTTATTACTTCTTAAAGCAACTTTTTAGAACAAAATTTTTAATTTTTTTACTAAAAAACTGCTTGAAGAAGCAACAAAAAACCGTCCCAAAAGAAGCCTTAGTGTTGATCACCAACGCCTTATCTTCCAGGAAGTAACAATATCACAAATCAAATGGCGTTCAAGGGATTATAGATCAAGCAGACCTAGCTCAGAGCAAAAGAAAATTGACTAGATACTCATTTTCATTCGAAATCCCAAAGAAATAAATACCTTCCATAATCAGAGTGGAAGTGCGTAATAGATAATTCAAAACAAACCAGTTTTATTCGCCTGGAGAGTTCAACTTTAAAGTCAAGCAGACAAGCATATGGTTGCATGGTTATAAACCAAGTGATGAGGAATAAAATCTTGATTGCTTCTTCAACATGTGATGATCGCGCACAAAATGATTGGACTAAAAATAAAAATTAGTATTATGATCATATTATGTTCCTTTTCAGTTTGATAGAGACTCCATTTTCCATCCAACTCCCTGCAGAATTAGAAAAAAAAGCATAGTCAGACAATTAAATAATGAAAAAGATGAGATATGAATTAGTTTAAGATTGCAATGATAAACAAATGCAATTGCCATAAAACTGAAAGAATCCGTATGAAGTATTCTGACCATCACCAGGTGCTGAAATTTAAAGACAGTTGTAAATTAAAAAATATATATATTTATTTCATAATGATATTGCACCATGTACTGGTCATCAGCTGGCCTCAATTCATATAGGGATGATTTAGGTGAGTATGATCTAACACAAGTAATAGTGTGGTTTAGTTCTATCATTATGATAAGTTGCTCAAACTAATGCAACCATCAACCCAATATTGCTAATTTGTACCAATCATTTGAGGGATGCTAAGGCTTTGTTTGGGATGATTTTTTGTTGTTTCTTAAAGCAGCTTTTTAGTACAAAAAAATTTAAGTTTTATACTAGAAAACTGTTTTAAGAAACAGTAAGAAAGCCATCCCAAACAAAGCCTAAGTTTGCACTGCATCCAAATTTAGGAATAGTTTTGAAGTGCAAAAGTTAAATACCTGACTAAAAGCCTTAAAAAAAAGGGCATATGCTTTACTTGAGTAACGCATTTCTTATTAAAGAAAATAAGGATAGCCATTACAGATGAAGGATAAATGATGGCAAATCATGGCAATAGAATACTATCATCATAAATTAGATTACAATCAACTATATTGATCATTAATAGGCCGAGGAAGCACTTATATAGACCACTTGACACTGTTGCCAAATGTCCGCTAGCCTATATTTTACTTGCCCTTGTAATCTTCAACTGGCTCAACTCCTAGCACTACCTCTTTCAGCTACTCATCTACTTTCACCTTCCCCTAAAAACTTCTATCTACTCACTGCCCCATCCAATCCCTGTTTATGTTGACATTGTGCAATTTGGCACGCCGATGAAAGCCACCTGTCAGTCCCCATCTTCCAGCAATAGTTGGTTTAGTTCAGTTTAATCAATAGAAGATTAAACAAGAGGAGCCGTTCTGCTATTATTCACAAATAAACTATGAGGGAAATCATCATTGGATCTCGATGAAACTCGGGCAAAATATAATCCATTTTACGAAGAGCAAAGTAGAACTTCAGAGCACAGATGAGATGTGACTGTCGAAAATTTGAGTTTTTGAGGGCCCGACCTCTCCAGGTAAAATTTTCTGGAAGAGTTCTAACAGCTTATGTTATAGAGAAAATTTTTGGAAGGCATATTATATAAATATAAGACACACAAGAAATTTCTCTCGCGTATGCGAGAGATTTGAGTTTTGGTTTTCAATAGGCATAAGTCTCTATAGTTAATTACTCATCCTTATAGCGAGGAGCACTTTTGATTAAGATTAGTCATTTAAATAGATATTTAGCATCCAAAGTATAGTAGCAGTAGATTTAAAATTTTAAAATTAGAAATTTACCACCGTTCCTCTTTAAAGTAAATGGTGGAGGGAATGATGTGAACTCGATCAAGATCCATGATTCCTTCGTCCGCATCATCACGGTCCCTAGTTTACTTAGTCAGAGGAGGTAGTCGACTCAACCTGATTGAAGAATCCTTGTCGGCAGCCATGGATTGTCTCGTACAAAGGTACCTTATAAACTTGGGGTGAGTGTTTGTCTAATGAAATTCAAGTCAACCTTAGCTAATAAAGGGCTTAATGACATATCAATTATACCCTATGATTTATTACTAAAGGGCATTAGTCACTAGGGAACAAACGAACTTTAGCCATAATCATAGTATAGTGAAGTCGTTCGACCAAGCCACCAAGTCAGAGGGTCGAGATCATAATTATTTATCATATGGAGTCGTTCAGCCAAGCCATGAGTTCTTTGTGGGTCCATTGGGTTAAGCAACTGATTAGAGGATCAGTCATAATCGTTTATCACGTAGAGTTATTGAGCTAAGCTACGGGTTCTGTGGTACCATACGACCAAGCCACCGGTTAGATAACAAATGCCACGTCCTTACTGGTGGACAATAGTATGAAAATGAATCTTAATGATATTCTCAATTTCGAAATTCGCTCTTTGTGAGATAAAATTATTCCTTAACTCATCGCCCTCAACCAAACATTTGCGAAGGGTGCATAGATTTTTACTTTAAGTTAGAGATGATTAATTTTAGTTTTAAATATTAAAACTTTGATAGATGTTCAGCTTTAGAGTTTTGGTAGATCTTTAATAATTGACCACTCCGTTTGAAATTTACTATCAAGATAGCAATAATCGGGGTTTCAAAATAGCTTGTATATGTCATTAGAACCTTGTCAACACTATTGATTTTCTGGTATAGAAATGCATTTGATTTGGATTTATTAGGCAATTTGATGATAAAGCCCCCTCCAATTGGTATTCTTCAACACAGTCATCATCGGGGTTGTTGGTGTGATTTAAAAATGTCAGTATTTTATCAATATTTGGAGGCGTTTAAAAGGTAGAATTCCCTCCGCTTTAAATTCACATTTAACATGGCCATCAGATAGGATATTTAGGTAATTCACATTTTAGTTATTTGAACCTTGCCAACTTTATTTGCTCGCTAATAGAGAATTGTATTCAGTTATTGATTAAACTTGAAAATTTGAACTGATCGGCATGCTCGGGTCTCAAATTTAGGAGTTCGATATGACAGTTGGAGTGCATGTGGGTTTTATATTTTGAAAAGGGCTTTTAAATCAGCTCGCTTTAATTTTTCTACACGCACTTCAATGTCTCAGCATGCTTCACGATACAACATGTCTTGCTAGCTTGTTGTGCACTTCCCGAGATGGTGACATGCTTCTTGAGACAGTAGCACACTTCTTGGGGCTATCACATGCTTTTTGAGGATAACGCATGCTTCTCAAGGCGATGTCACATTTCTAGAGAGGATGCACTTTAATTTAGAAAACTTACATTTAATATATTGGGAATTTTTAAGTATTTAAATTTGATTGTTTGCACAAATGATTGACGTTAGAGTATGCACAAATTTTCAATTGAAAGTCAACAAGCGCCTTCTGTCTGTTTGTATGTATGTTGTGAATTCGATGACGTTAAGACGAATATGCTTCATTCATTTTAGATACTAGATATATTGTTTGATTCATTTAGCCCATTCTAGTTTAGATTTAACATAATCTATAGGGTTTATGCATTCAATTGTAGTTAGGAATTGCAGTGCTGCTCGTAAGCAAATTATTATGTTTGCTATGAGTCACTTAGAGGCGCCCGTAGAAGGGTTTATGTGAGCATTACAAGTCTCCTGTTGTATCCCATAGGCAAGTTATAGTATTCATTAAATGTCCAAGGCTATTGCCCGTAAGCAGGTTGTTGTTTTCTTACAAGCCCGTAAATATTACCCGTAGGCAACTTACGTTCATTGCAAGTCATCTGAGTTGGCTATTTGGCGAACTAATAGGTTTGTTAGGCAATCTATTACATTCATTACAAGTACCATGTTTTTGCCCGTAGGCGAATTGTTTATTCATTAGAGACCCTTGTATTTGCCCGTAGTACCAAGCGGATACACACTCGTAGGCAATCTGTCGTGTTTGTTACAAGGCCCCTACCATTCTTTGAATCTTATTAAAATTGCATTTTTATTTTAAAAAATTAATTTAGGTTCAATTCCTTGCAAGTGCTCACTCTAAATTTCGATAACCACCCAACATCTTACCCATATAGTGGAAATTTTGAGAGAGCTAAAAACTACCCACCATGTTATCAGAAGCAGGATAGACGGTGTTAGTGACACAACGACCAGGGGTCTCTTTCCCCAACACGCATATTAGATACACATGGGGTCTTCGTCACCTGCACAAGCAAATTTCCTTGTCACGCTTATTAAAAGTGGATGGGTACTTAAAATTTACAAGTTTTCCCCCACCGCATTGGAACTAAACCCTAAACACTTAGGTTTGCAAGGTCCCCCGTCACACTTCTCAGAAGAGACAAAATACTTAAATTAGCAAAAAAATTGCGAGGATTTTTTAAATTATACCTGCATGAGCGACGACAATGACAAGACAAAGATGATGAGGGTCAGAACACACTCAAACTCTCTCTCTCTCTCTCTCTTTTGAATTTTCTCCTTTTTTGGGAATTTTCTTTTTCCTCTTTTTTTTGCTTTTAATAATAATAATAATAGAGAGAGAGAATGAGAGATGGAAAGTGAGAGCTTAAGCTTTTCTTTATTAGATAGAATGGAAGGAGAGGGTAGAGAGGAAATTTTGTGTTATTGCTCTGTTTAGAGAGAGAATGATAATAGAGAGAGAAATTTCTTTCTTGGAGACAGGGAGGAGCAATCTTGTTGTGAGGTGGAGTTGACAGCTTTGATTAGAATGGCGGGTGAGGTTGGTCCAGGGTGGAGCTGGAAGTACTATGAAAAGAAGAGGTGTGGCTTGTTGTGGTTCACTGAAGGAGCAGTGAGTCAAATAAATGTCTACATCAAGCCTTTGAGGTGGTCGGATTTGCTACAGGTTGTTTGGATGAGGGTATAAATATAGGAAAATTCGGTTGCTGTGTTTGGCCAATTGGGGTAGGTGAGTGGAGCAGGGGTGGCTGGTGTGGAATGGGCTTCATCGATGAGACTTAGAAAGGGTTCTGGCTTTTGGCTATGATGAGGTCGCAGCAGGTCAGAAGTGTAGAGGTAAGCGTATGGGAGTGTGCGGGTGGTGGATCAGAGCAAATTGGGAGAAGTGAAGACAGGATCTCACGGTAGCAAAGGTCTAAGGCAATGTTTAAAATTGCGTATTTGGGTATTGAGGCGTTTTTCATTCGTGAGGCGAGGCTTAAACCTCAAGGCGTTTTGAGGCGTAAGCCTCAAAATCAAAAGATTGCATAAACATAAAATGATAAATTTTTTATATATTAATGAGTGAATAACATAAAACATAAAAAACATAAGATATTAAGTGAAATCAAAATATCTCAATAATAAGACAACATGAAATATAGTTCAACTCGAAATTCTATCTTTCCCAAA